GCACAGGGGTCCTGGTATGTTCAGGCAGCTTGAGGGCCTGTGTGCATGCATAGGCCAAGGTGTGTGTGTGTGTGTATGTGCATTTGCATGCATGTGTAAGAGTGTGTACATGTATGTGCATGCCCAGGCATGTGCATGTACACGCACAGGCACTTGTATGTACATAGGCGTGCATGCATGTGCATGGTCCACAGGCATGTATGCATGTGCACAGGTGTGTGCCCATTGGCTGGCCCCTGCTCTGACTTTCATGCCCCCTAGTCAGTGGGGTTCCCTGTGTCCAGGGACCTGCCACGTGGGTGCTGGGCTGGCTCTGGGGCCTGCACTGGGGTCAGGGGCCCAGGCCCAGTGTTGTCCTTGGGGGGAGGGTCACGGAGCCACAGGGACGTTCCAGGAATGGGTGGCCAGGGCTGGAACAGAATGAGTCAGCTGGGCTGGGAGCACGAGGGCAGGAAGCGCTGGGAGCTGCAGTGCTGGTGGGAGAAGGGGGGCCCGCTGTGCCCGCTGCTCTTACAGGATGGTGGGAAGAAACTCGAGCTGCCTGGCTCTTCTTATCTGGCTTGGGCAGGGGGGCCACCCCAGCACCACCCCTCACGCAGCTGGAGGCTGGGGCACCCAGACCCATTCCTGGCAGTGCTGTCATTGGCCTCAAAGGTCCCACTGACCCTGCTGCTCTTGCAGGGGTGGAGACGGGCACCACGCTGAGGATGAGAGACGCCCCCGTGGCGGTGAAGGCTCCTGCCAGCTAAGGGCTGGGCTGTGGAGGGCGCCCAGAGCCGACTGCGGGGGTCTCGGCAGCAGAAGAGATTTCCAGCCTGCTGGGAGCTGCCCACCTTCCCCCTGGAGCCATGCCTGTGTGGCTGGGCCCTGGGGCTAACCTGGAGCAGATGGCATGGAGCCCCGGTGCTGGCGTGGCTGTGAAGCGCTCCCCAACAGGCTTGGAGGTGAAGCTGGGGTCGCTGGTGACACTGCTGCTGCTGACCATCATCTGCGGCCTGGCCCCACTCTGCATCTTCCGGCACCCCGGTAGCGCAGCCGGCTCCTCCGGTGAGGCTTGTGCCAGAGCTCCTGGGGGGCCAGAAGTCTCCAGGACAAGGCTCGTCTGGCCGGCAGGGGGAGGGCAGGGGATATGGCTGAGGCCAGGGTCCAGGCCATGATCTCACTGCCTGGGCCTGCAGGGAAACCATGTCTGGCTGCCAAGCCCAAGAGACAGGCATAGCAGCTCAGGGTCCTGGTAGCTGGAGCTGGTCCTGAGCCAGCCTCCATGCCTGTGGCTGCAGCACAGAGGTCCCAGCAGAGCAGCACCTGGCCCCTGCTGGCAGGAAGGGCTCTTGGTGCGTGGGGAGCTAGATGAGCCTGAAGAGGGATCAGCCCCTGTGCCCTGAAGGAAACCAGGGCTAGGCTGTTGGCCCAGGGGGCTCAGGCTGTGGCCCCTGCAAGCCAGGGTTTCTCTAGGTCATGGCTCTGGACAGAGCGGGTTTGGGAACGCTGGGTGCTCTCGAGAGCAGGGCCCCATCCTGCCAGTGCTTCCTGGGCAGAGCCAGGCCTGGCCCCTGCACGGGACCTGCCCCCATTACACAGACAAGGAGTGAGGCCTGGGAGGGGGAAGGGAGTGATGTGATGCAGGTCATGCAGAGTCAGCAGCAGAACCTGGCCCATACCCCGGGGTGCAGTGGGGTTGTGTGCTGGGTTTCCCTGCTGGGGGTCACCCCCTGGCCACAGCATGTGCTGTGCCAGGCATCACTAGGGGCAGGAGGCACCACTTGGCACCCACGCTGTGGATGCATGGCCTGTGTTCTGGGTAACACGGGGCCAGGGCATTTCCCCTGGCCCCGGGGGCAGGCCCTTGAAGCTCTGCAGCCAGATCCCCAGCCAGGGACCTCGCTGCTGGCTGCCTCAGGGGTGGGGGCAGTGAACTGCATCAGCATCCCCCCCTGCAACCCTTTTCTGGACAGATGCACGCAGGAGGTTCCTGAGCCTGGTGAGCTGCTTTGCAGGTGGTGTGTTTCTGGCCACCTGCCTCCTGGACCTGATCCCTGACTACCTGGAGGGCATTGATGAGGCGCTGGAGAACCTGAGAGTCACGGTGAGCCCATGTGGGGCAGCTTCCCCCTACCCTGCACCTGGGCTGCTTGCGATGGGGCAGTGTGTGGGGTGGGGGGCTCCCAGGGGCATGGAGGACCCTGGGTAGAGGTTGGCAGGGCAGGGGAGGGGACAAAGGATGCCCTGGGGATGGCTGTCGGCTCCAGCTTGCTGCCTGTCTGGGTGCGATCCGCGGTGGAGGCTGGGAGGAGGCCCGTTCCAGCCGCTCTCCAGGGTGACTCACTGGAGCTGCCTCCCGCCCCCGCCCTTCTCCCTGCAGCTTCCTGGCAGCCCCGGGCGGCCTCTGCTTCTCAGCAGTGATGCATTGACTGCTCCGGCCCCTCTGCTCCCCCTTCCCTGTGCAGGGGCTGCTGTGAGGGCTGAGCCATGCTCCCCCTGCTGATGCAGCTCTTGCCTCTTCCCTTGCAGCTCCAGTTCCCCCTGCAGGAATTCATCCTGGCCATGGGCTTCTTCCTGGTGCTGGTGATGGAGCAGATTGTGCTGGCCTACAGGGACCAGGCAGGCTCCCTGGAGGAAACACGGGCGCTGCTGGGGGGCTCGCCGCAAGATGGCTCTGTGCAGGCCCAGCCCTGGTCGGATGGGCCCCTGCACTCAGCTCACGGCCCTGGCCCTGACCGGCCCCACGTGCACATCGACTTCAACGCACACTCGGCCATCCGGTCCTTCGCGCTGGTGCTGGCACTCTCACTGCACTCAGTCTTTGAGGGTCTGGCCGTGGGGCTGCAGGAGGCTGGCGCCAAGGCCCTTGAGATCTGCCTGGCATTGCTGGTCCACAAGTGCATTGTGGCCTTCAGTCTCTCGCTGAAGCTGCTACAAGGCCAGCTGCGCCCGCGCGCCGTGGTCGGCTGCCTGCTGCTCTTCGCCCTGATGTCCCCACTGGGCATCGGGCTGGGCGTGGCGCTGACGGAGACCGCGGCCGCACTGCCACAGCTCTCACGCAGCGTGCTGGAGGGGCTGGCGGCCGGCACCTTCGTCTACATCACCTTCCTGGAGATCCTGCCTCATGAGCTCAGCTCCCCAGAGCAGCGCATCCTCAAGGTCATCCTGCTCATTGCTGGCTTTGCCCTCGTCACCGGCATCCTCTTCATCAAGATCTGACCTGGGGGTCCTGTGGGTAGTGCGCACAGCTCGTTGCAGCACCAAGGGCTGGGGGTGCAGCTACTTGTGTGTGCGTGCGATGGGCTTGCAGGGAGCCTACGTCACCTGTCCTGTGGCTTGGGAATCCCCTCCCTGCTGACTCCCGTGGGCAGGGGATTCCCAAGCCAGGGCCACAGAATCAGGGTTGGGCCATTCACTGGCACATCACCCCCTGCCTGCAGTGGTGGGATCACCCCAGGGGCCTGCCCCTGCAGCCTGCAGGCCAGACCCAGCGCCCCCAGAGCCGGAGCAGCCCTGGTCACAGCAGCACTCCAGAGTCTGGTGCACGCCATGGGCTTGGCCCGGCCGCCCCTGTA